TTTTTTTTTTTTTTTTTTTTTTTTTTTTTTTTATAAATGTTTTGCTTCAAATATTAGCATCATCTCATCATCATCATCTCTCCTAATTGTGATTATGAGTTTTATTTAATCATATAATATTCAACCATTCTCATTAATCCTAAATATAATCCTATGAACAATTAAATTCGAACATATTTTTCTATTTTTTTTCTATTATATAGTTTTATATATACAAGACATTAATATTAAAATCGACAAACAAAAAAAATAAACAAAAATTGAGGAAGTGGGTTAAATTTTTATGTCGTGAATTATTTTATTTTATTTTATTTTTTTTGTGAAGAATTGGTATAGAAAAACACAGAAATTGGATGAAATATATGAAAAATCCATCTTTTTTCATATAAGTTCAACCAATTATACATATTTCTCTCTCTGGTCCCTTGATTTTCTGTATTTATCAATCTTTCTCTTTCTCTTTGGTTATGACACAAAAACACGTGCGTTTCTTAAGCATTTTGCCCAGTTTCAGGTGCCCTTTTATTTCCCTTCAATCAACTTTTGACCCCTATATTACACACATTTTACCAATCTTTCCACATTTTTCCTATTTGTGACGTTTCACGCCCAGGTTTCGAACCGGGATTTGAAATTTGGATTTAGTATTTGATTGACTCGACATTTTACTGAAGAGTAGAATTCTCGTAAGGTTACCCAATATAGAATTGTTCAAAACTAAGTACTTTGAAGTTCTTGAATCACTGAAACTTCCGAGGAGTCAGAACCATCGTATTGAGACACGAAGTGAAACATAGAAGGAGAAGAGAACTACTTAAACTAGATTAGCCAGAACCCAGAGACCGATTCAGGAGATCCATAACCTATAATAACCAAAGCCTACCGCTAGCATGTATTGTCTTTTCGAGTATCTCCTCAACGTTTGCATACCCTTATAAAGAATGATTCGTTTCTCTCTCCAACTGATATGGGATCTCATTCGAATATGATATTGGTTGATCCACGAGCACCTCCTTCGCTTGGGTTCAAATTGTCGTTCCTCTTTGAATTCTCTTGTTTGATGATACCGAGGAGAGACATGGGTTTTTGTTTAATCATTCAATTATTTAAGGTAACCACCATTCAATAGAGAAAACGACATGTCGCCAAACCGTTGCTTGCTTCCCATTTCTGTATATATATTATTATTCCATTTGGGATTTTGGGAATAATAATGGTGGAAGACCCACCGGCCATAACCTTACGCTCACACCCATCTCCAAATTTCAAAACCATTTGGTATATATACATACACACATACATACATATACATACACACACTCACATATATATATATATATATATATATGTTCTTTTTAGCTTTTCTCTGTTACCTATGGAAAACATCTTTTCATCATCGTCCTTGTCTGTCTTCATCTTTATTCATGGATTTCAACATTATTCCCTTCTTTTTGCACTTTTTTTTTTGTTATTGGCTCAAGTTTTGATGATCTTAAGAATTTGTTTATCATACAAACCCTAAAATCTCTTTCAATTCAATCAAAGTTCCAATTTTGATCGATACCCATCAAATCGATTTTTATTTAAACCCTAATAGATCAAGAAGATTTCTCGTTTTTTGTGTTCTTCATTCCGAGTTAAAATTTGGGTTATTTTGTTCGAGCGATATAAACACTTGCATATCAGTTAAATTGGGAGAAAACCAAATTGAATTATATTTATTTTTTACAAACGTTTTTCGACAGTTATACAGAAATAACAGTAAGATTTTGTTTTGTTTGTTCGTATCATATAATATCTCTTAGACATAGAAAAGAAAAGTAATACCCGTTATAACATGAGTATCGTTGTTATGATATCGAGCTTAGAACGGGTCCCGGTGGGTGAAAAAGGGAAACAATGTGACAGGGGTTTGGTGTAAAGGAAGTGAGAAAAGGCGAAGGGTTTTGCCAAAATTGAGATGTTGAAATTTATTGGCCTTACATGTCATGTCACTCTAGAGGACCTTGACTTGGATGATGGGGTTTGTGTACTCTCACTGCTCTTCTCTTCCCACACCCCTTCTTTTAGCTCCAAAGAATCTTTTATTTTTATTTTATTTTATTATATATATATATATATATATATAAGAAGACAGTAATGAATGGTGAGTACTGAGTCCAACCCACGTGAGGCTATACTTGCATTGTCCACCATGCATTTTGAGGCCGCCATCATTTTTTTTAATTCATATGTACTTTTTGCTCCGACGAGATATACGGCGGTGGGTACGGCGGTGGTAGGTGGTTGGTGGTTGGTGGTGGTGGTGGTGGTGGTCGCTCATCTTTGATTCATTCTGCCTGGTTGCAGCTATTGGCATGTGTGAAGAGTGTACAGTGTTTTGGGTGTAGAGACATGATCTTTGTCTTTCACTGTTCAAATGTTGTACCTATGTTGTTTTTATGGTATATTCCTTTTCCAAAACATCATTGTTTTGGGTAAGTTTTCTACTCGATGAGCTACTCGTAAAGGCATTTATATCGCCGAGTAATTTAATCGATTCAAATTATAAATGTTGGGTTGAGTTCAAATTTTTTTTTTTCGATTTTGGTTCAATCGATTTTTTTAAAAAACTAAAAAGTCGAGTCGGTTTGCCGATTGACATGACCTGACCAACTCGAAAATAGGGTTATAATCTAACCCAACCTTTAAGATTATTATAAAAATTAAGAATATTTGATATTTGTTATCGGTGTTAGTGATGCAATGAAACTTGTGCATGCTTGATATTTGAGATTTATGAGATTTTAGTTATTAATATAACATATATTATAGATAATAATTTTTTTTCAAACGACCAACTTAAAAAATAGGTGGTTAGGTTGGGTTGTGAACTCTCGGGTTGCTTGGGTCACTAACCCGCAACCAACCAACAATTTTAAGTTGGCCTAAAAGATTTTTCCAACCCAGCTCGTCTATGCCCCTAACTGGTCAACTTGGAACGTGTATGCTTTAGTAAAAAACGTTTAAATAGAAAAAGTTCCTAGTTAATACAACTACACAACGTCGATCAAGTAGTAACAGTAATATTTCAAGTGTTGTACAATAAAATTCACTTTAATATTGTATATAAATTAAATTGATAAGATTGTGAGCTATTGAAAAGTAACGACAAGATTCGAACGTAACGTATGTAAATTTTGAACTTACATATAAATTATTAACGGTTGTATAGATGAAGACCTATTCAATATATTTTCTTCACCCGTCAGTCAAAATTTAGTATCTATAGTTTAAAATTTAATTATTTAATAATTTTCGAGATTATTAAAGAATAGTAATTTATTTTAATAAAATGTATAAGAATTAGTGATGTGGATGCTTTTAAATTTTTGCTAATAATAATAATAATAATAATAAACACGAAATAATTGCCCTAATCCACGTTGACGTCATCACATTCTACAAAAATTATTTGAATATTTGGACTCCAATAATTATTTCTCTCCATAAATTATTTTTTTTTAATCTGAACCGTTTATTTTCCTTCAACGGCCTTGATTACTCTTAAATTGAACTAGATCCTTCTAGAATGACATCAGCCTAAACCTTAAATTATTGCTTAATTTTAATAATAATTTTCAAATCCCCTATCTTATCATCCTATTTTTTTTATTAGTATTAAATTTAAATTAGATTATAAATTTAGACATTTGGGAGTTTATATACATTTTTAATTGGTTAAAATTTTAAAATTACAAATTTAATTTACTCATTTACTAAATACAAAATTAAAAAAAATATATATATAGTTATATTATACATAAATTTTAATTTTCTAATATATTAACTAATTTTTTTAATTTTTTTATGTTAGAAATTTTTAAAATTTTAAATATCATCGTGATCATATGACATACAACATGCATGAGGTATCGCATTAAAAATCATATTTCAATGAGATGATGCACATAATACTTCACATGATGTAAATTCCTTACAAGACGTATACATATTTATGGTAATTCATTCGTGCTTATTATACATGGTACATATGGTCATATCAATATGGTTATATATGGTATGTGTTATTCAGGCACCCGACAATTACATTCAACCTAGTCAGTAGGTTAAAATTGATATTTTTAAGGTCATCTTATCTTACCGTTCCTAGGTTTAGCACACATGAAATTCAGATACATTTATGCTATTTTATTTATTAAAAAAATTAAATTCAGAATTTTTTCCAACGTAATTTAACTGTCTTAAATAATATTAAATATTTTAAATTTAGATAAGCCAAGAAATTTTAAAATATAAAAATTTTTATTTACATATTTGACTTATTATATAAAACAAATGTAATTTCATTTTCACTATTAATTTCTATTTTGAAAAAAAAATTACTATAAATTACATTTTGAAATTGAAAAAATTTGTAATAAGGGGGGGGGGGGGGGG